ATTCTCATGGCTTAACGCCACAGGACATTTTGATTGTTGCATCTTGGCGATCCCGACTCGTGCCAGAACGCTGTTCCTGGGACTTCAACACCGCGGATCAAGGTAGTTGCTTCGCCCTGGCAATCTAGAGTCGCTCCAAAACACCATGTGTGGTACGTTTTCCATGAGAACCAGTGAAACCCGTGCAACTTTTTACAACGAATGTTCGCGGCGCTAAGGCGAGGGCCAGCCACACTTTGAAAACCACCTGTCCTTAATCCGTGAAGCTCTAACAGAGTTTTGGAACGACTGTGCGCGGCGCTAGGGCGAGAACCACATTCTGGAAGCGATCCGCCCTCCATGTGTGAAAGTCTTGTCGGTTTTAAGCTTGAGGCTCATAAATGGTAAGGAAGTCTCAGGCGAAACGCCCGCCCCGCTCTTCCAGCTGGCTTCGGGGTGCGACGTGGGGGAGTTATTCATGAGGAGAAGGAATGGAGGAGGAGGAAGAGGAGGGGGAGGAGGGTCCTCGCGGTCGTCGTCGTCGTCGTCGTCGTCGTCGTCGTCGTCGTCGTCGTCGTCGTCGTCGTCGTCGTCGTCGTCATTGTCGTCGTCGTCGTCTTCGTCGTCGTCGTCGCCGGTCGGCCTCGTCGTCGCCGTGGTCGCCGCCGCCGCGTCTGACAAGGGCATCGGATGGCAGCAGCAGAGGCGGCGGACTGCCTCCCATCTCCTGGCTGCTGCTGCGCACTGACCTGGCAGGTCGCCTCGTGGTGTTTCGCGCCGCTTTCTTGGCGAACTGCGCACACCTGCATGAGTCAGAAGCATAGGGCTCCGGCTTCCAAGCTCACTGCGGTCAGGACGCTGAAACAAGGACCACTTAGGGCTCAGGAGGGGGCTCTGGTTTTCGGGCCGTTCCTTAGGTCTGGGCCGGAGAACCCATTCGAAATCGAGGGTCGCCGTGGCTAGAAGAGCCCCTGGGTTCCTTATTCAGCGTCCCTCATGGTAGCATGATGGCTGTACCCTCACTCCTCTACTAGCGGGCCCGCCGCACTCGCGCGCGGGGAGCTTTCACACTGCCCCCTGTGCCGCCGCCATGGGGTGGCCCCTTTCAGCAGCCCTGGGCAGTGACGAGCAGGTATAGACATGAGTAAAAGATGCAGCTTACCAATGCTACATTTTCACTGTATTTCTTGATCTGGATCTCAGCAGCTACGAGGCGACGGAGGAAGAAATATGGAAGCAAAGGGGCATGACATCTGTGGGTGTGGCTACGCTACAAGCGTTAAGAAATTGGGCCAGCTTTCTGGCAAGTTCGTTACGACACGCTTGGCGAGCCTCAGACGAGGAGGTTTCTTAAGAGTCTGCTCGACTATTGCCGAAAATCGCCGCTGCAACTCCGGATTGATTTCGGGAGGCTTCTGCCGAAGAGGACGCGGCATCATGCGAGGACCGCCGCCTCCAGGCGGGGATCGAACAGCTTCCAGCGCCTTGAACCCCTTGGCGAAATCGTAACGACGTGCACGTTCGAGAGGACGGCTGGCCTTTTCGGCGGCTGACGCACGGGCGGCGCACGGGCGACGAGTGCGCGACGCACCCCTTGTCGCGAGGGGGGGGGATCAGCATGCCAGTCGTATTACTGGGTCTTAACAAGGCGTGGTAAGGAACGACACCGAACTCTGTGAGAGTCGTTGTCTTGTATTGTGCTTGTGGTGCCATGCCTCCGTCCATCTATGTCGTTGCTAACCGTGCGAGAGAGATGCTGGTTGACCGTGTTTGCAACCAGGCGGAGAGTGCTCCGGGGTGCCCGATGCACAACGGTAGTTGGTATGGGTAAAGCACGCAAAAACGCCCCGCAATTGTTGGTCATCCTCTTCTGTAGCATGGGAGGTCATGTGCAAAGGGTGCGTTCATCCAGTAGCAGCTGATGCATGCCATCTCCACATGCTGTAGAATTTGGTCAACCCGAACCAGATGGCAACGGGCATGCCATGGCCAACGTATTCATTGGACGTGCATGGTCTGCGTGATTGTTCGGCATTTTACAGGACAGCGCGTCGACGTTCCTATGATGACTCCGTGTACCGACGCCCGCAAAGTTGCCACGCGTGATCATGACGGTGTAAGGGAGATGTGTGTGAGTGTGTGTGTGTGTGTGTGTCTGTGTGTGTGTGTGGGGGTGCGGGGGAGGAGGCCGTGCACATGCTGAATATGATGCCGTGGACTGCGGTGCGCATTGGAACCAGCCTGGCGAGATTGACTGTTGTAGTCTCTAGCCTATGTGCCAACCAGTCGGATGTGTGGCTAGTCGACGCGTGTTGCAAAAATAATCCACCCTCCCCCACCCTCCCCCACTCGCCCACGTCCTCCCCCGCCCTCCGCCCTCTCCTCCATCCCCCGCCCGCCCGCCTCCGTCGTCCCCGCGCGCTCCCGCGCGAGCCGTCCCCCCCCCGCCCCCACTCCCCCTGCATCCCCCTTCCGCCCTCCTCCGTCTCCCCCGCGTGCTCCCGTGGCGAAGCCCGCCCCCCCCCCCCCCGCCCCCCACCCCCCTGCACCCCCCCCCGCCTCCTCCGTTTCCCCGCGCGCTCCCGGCAGGCGGGCCTTCCCCCACCAACGCCCCCCTCGTGCGCGCGCGTGCCCGGCTTGGCTGCGTGCACGGCTGCGGCCGGCCGGTGGCACTTTGGATTTTATTTTATTTATTCTTTTTTTTTTTTTTTTTTTTTTTTTTGTGCCACCGGGGGGGCGGGGACTGTCGAGGGCCGGGTCGGCGAGTGGTTCAGTGGGGTCGCTCATAGCGAGGGGGGGAGGAGGACGAGGAGGAGTGTGCATGGGGGGGGGTGAGGAAGAGAGCAGGGACAGTTGAAGGATGAGGATGAGGGCGGCAATGGATGACGGATGGTGTTTGGAGGGCTGCTGGCAGGTGTAGGAACGAGGATGTGGAGCGAGGAGGAGGAGGGGAGGAGGAGGAGGAGAGGAGGAGGAGGAGGAGGAGGAGGAGGAGGAGAGAGAAGGAGAAGGAGAAGAGGAGGATGGGGAGGAGGAGGAGGAGGAAGGAGGAGGAGGGAGGAGGGGAGGTAAGAGGATGGAGGAGGTGGAGGAGGAGAGAGAGGAGGAGGAGGAGGGAGGAGGAGGAGGAGGAGGAGTGGGGAATTGCTGCGTCTGCACGATTTTATCGCCACCAGATCCCCAATCCTAGGAGGAGGGGGATGAGGGGGATGGGTCAAATGAGGAAGAGCAGTCTCTACGAGCAGGATGTAGGCTGAATTGGAGGACGATGAGGAGGAGTTGGAGGAGGAGGCCGAGCAGGTGCAGGAAGAGTAGTAGGAGGAGCTCGAGGATGAGGATGATTCAGGGTTGGATGTCGATGTTGATGCTGATGCTGATGCTGATGCCGACGAAGACAATGACGATGACGATGACGATGACGATGACGATGACGATGACGATGACGATTACGATGATGATGCTGATGATGATGATGCTGATGATGATGATGATGATGGCGATGCTGCTGCTGATGATGCTGATGGTGATGACGATTACGATGATGTTGTTGATGATGGTGATGGTGATGATGCTGATGCTGATGCTGATAGTGATGCTGCTGCTGATGATGCTGATGATGACGATGATGACTATGGCGATGACGATGATGATGCTGATGATGATGCTGATGCTGATGCTGATGCTGATGATACTGTTGCTGATGCTGGTGATGTTGATGATGACCATGATGTTGATTGACCATAACGATGATGCTGCTGATGATGGTGATGACTATGACGATTACGATGACGACGATTATGCTGACAATGGCGATGATGCTGCTGCTGGTGATGATGGTGATGATGAGCGGGGGTCGACGACGAGGATGATGAACATGTACGAATCGTGCGATAACCATGCTAGTAATTTTGCTGGGGACGGCGATGATGATGCGTGAGGATCGGCGACGTGGATGGTGATCAATCTTAACATGAAGTTGAATAGTGTTGCTGCTGCTATTGACGACGATGATGGCGACGACGACGATACTGATGATGCTGCTGCTGCTGCTGCTGATGCTGCTGCTGCTGATGATGATGGTGATGATGATGATGATGATGATGATGATGAGGCTGCTGCTGCTGCTGCTGATGATGATGATGATGATGATGATGATGGTGGTGGTGGTGGTGGTGGTGGTGAGGAGGAGGAGGAGGAGGAGGGGGACAAGCTAGGTTCGTTCGCGTCGTATCTGACGTCCTACTCCTCCCTCGCATCCCGTACCATTGCGTAGATCTCCTCTCTATTCGCACAGTCGGATGTCGTAGCGTGGCATGGCATTATATGGCATAGTATGGTGTTGAAGATCAACGCATAGCATGACATAGCATGGCGTGGCGACGTTCCAAAGTGGGAGTGAGGGGGCTTCTGCGGCCCAGAAAATCTTCGAATCGACACCGAATATGTAATCACTTCCGATGGTTTTTTCTATGGGCCATCTTCCAGATTTCGGGGTTTCTTTGGAAGGACTGAAAACCATGCCATGGCAAGGTACTGGAAATAATGACGCCAGCGCTGCAGCGGGAGCACGATTCGGAACGAGCGGAAGCGCGGAAATGAGGCCAGCGCTGCAGCGGGAGCACGATTCGGAACGAGTGGAAGCGCGGAAATGAGGCCAGCGCTGCAGCCTCAGCGGGAGCAACATTTCGAAAAAACCCAAGTGAAAACCCAGTTCCCGGGAATCCTTCGTGTAAAAAACAGTATGCGGAAGGGGGCCGAACATCTTCCGGACGTCATCAGGGGAGAGAGGGGAGTAGTTTTCACATTGTGTAATCGTGGAGGAGGAGGAGGAGGAGCAGGAGGAGGAGGAGGAGGAGGAGGAGGAGGAGGAGGAGGAGGGTAGGAGGAGGAGGAGGTATGAGAGGAGGGAGAGGAGGGAGGGAGGGAGGGAGGAGGGGGGAGGAGGGAGGGGGAGGGAGGAGGAGGAGGAGGAGGAGGAGGGGAGGTGGAGGAGGAGGAGGAGGAGGAGGAGGAGGATCGGCAGCCATTCGGCTCACGGGCTCGGTCCACCGCGCGTCCGTCTGGGCCCGCAGGCCCGGGCCGACGCGCGAGCGAGGGCCGTCGTCGCGCACAGCCGCGACACCGAGTGCCGCCGGTGCCGAGCACAGCTCTCGTTTCTCTGTGCTCGTCGGCCCTCGCAGCCATGGGCAGCGACATGAGCCTGCTCGTGGCGGCAGAGAAGCTGAACTGGGTGAAGCATCATTCTCTCGAGATCGACACGGCGCTGCAGGCGCAGCAGCGGCCCCTCCTGAGGCACTTCGGCAGCACCGTGTTCCTGTGCTCGCAGGAGCGCAGCATGATGGGCTGCCCCTATTACCATCACTTCGTGACAGATCACATTTGGACGATCGAGTTCGGTGGCGGGGAGACTCTCAATTGCTGCGTGCAGGTGCATAACAACCCGATGGGCACATACCAGCAGGAGTGCGCGGCTGCGAATACCGACGATATCATGGCGCGCATGCAGAGGGTGTGCGGAGCAAGGGGGTACTCGCTGTGCTTGAGGAACTGCGAGCACCTTGCCCGCTACGTCATTTCGGGCAGCTGGGTGAGCTCCCAAACTCTCCTCACATCGCGGAGGGTCGGGGCCAGATTCGCCCAGTATCGAAGGCGCCTACGGCGACTCACCGCCTCCCCCTGCGTTTTAGGATACGCCTATGTGGCCAAATGTTTGGGCAAAGTTTGCCACGCTATTGGACCATGCGTCCACCCAGCCGTTGTGGAAGCCCGTCGGGGAACACGTGGGGGAGG